ATCAAAAAATGAACCCATATTCTGGATCATTTCTTGAAAATGATTCAAATATTTGGATCAATTTGATACCTTATATCGAATCAAAACGTTGCATGAGTTGATCTTAATTCTTGTATCAATTTAATACACACAAGAAAACTGTGATGGGAACTATGGTTGGCCCAACTAGGGCTGCCGACGTTGGCAGCCATAGTCGGGCCACCTTTGGGTGACAATATTTACCATGGTCGGACCAACTAGGGCGGCCGAATCACGTGCAGTCCTAGTTGGGCCGACCAACCATTTCTGGCGGCCGACCGAAATTCGCACCTGGGGAGTAGAAATTTTTATGGCAATTTTGTTAATTTTTTGTATTTTTTATCAGCAATGTCAAAAGGTGTTTAATAGACTGAAAAAAAATTTAGTTGATTCAAATAATCTGTTGCTTGGCTATTATCAAAGAAATATTTATTTGTGTTCAATAATTGGAATTTGAGTCAATTAAATGGTATTTGTTTCAAGTACAGAAATTATTAGTTCAATACAAATATTGTTTGTTTAAAAACAGAAATTATTTGTTTAACCCTGGAAGGAGTATATGAATTTTTTCACACTCTAAAGGGTAACTGGGGTGTCTAGACACTCCAACTTGAAACTTGTGTAAAAAGGTTTCTATTTGACATAAAACTAATTGTATATAGTGGTTTTTATTGGTTTTTTAGTAAGGAAAACAATAGTTTTATTGGTTTTTTGATAAAATAAAAATTTAGTTGAAAAAAACTTGCAAAAACGAAAAATTTTCCAAATTTGCCGAAATTTAAATTTTGCTGTGGTATCTAGACACCCCAGTTACTCCTTCTAGGGTTAAATACAAAAATTATTAGTTCAAATACAGTTTATTTAATTTAAGTAAAAATTCTTAGTTCAAGTACAGAAATTATTTGTTTACAAAAATTATTTCTTTAAATGCAGAAATTATTACTTCAAATACAGTTTATTTCATTCAATTAAAAATTATTAATTCAAGTACAGAAATTATTTGTTTAAATACAGAAATTATTAGTTCAAATACAGATATTATTTGTTTAAATACAAAAATTATAAGTTCGAATACAGTTTATTTAATTCATGTAAAAATTATTTGTTCAGATACAGTTTGAAGGGGTTAATTGTGAAAGCGAGTTAATAAGTATGTTCCCGCATGAAAATCGCACTTTGGGAAAAAGCTAGCAAAAGATGGGGAAAGATTTTCGCCATGGAAGCAAAAAAACTTGTTTTCTCTCATTTTTTTTAATTTGAAAAATTTCTTTTTCAAAGGATTGTAAAAATATTGTAAAAGATGGGTGAAAAAAATTTTATTTTTTAATTATTTACTTTGAAAAATTTATTTCTCAAAGGATTGCAAAAGTATAGGAAAAGTATTGCAAAAGTATGGAAGCAAAAAAACATTTTTTCTCATTTTTTTAATTTGAAACATTTATTTATCAAAGGATTGCAAAAGTATAGGAGCAAAAAAAAATTTTTTTTTTAATGCGAAAAATTTATTTTTTAAAGGATTGCAAAAGTATTGCAAAAATATAGGAGCAAAAAAAATTTATTCTCATTTTTTGAATTTGAAAAATTTCTGTTTCAAAGGCTTGCAAAAGTATTGCAGAAGTATGGTAGCAAAAAAATATTTTTTTTTCACTTTTTTACTCTAAAAAATTTATTTTTCAAAGGATTGCAAAAGTATTGCCAAAGAGGGAGAAAAAAATTTTTTTTTTTGCTCCCATACTTTTGCAATACTTTTGCAGTTCTGTGAAAAATAAATTTTACAAATTAAAAAAATGAGAAAAAATGTTTTTTTTGCTTCCATACTTTTGCAATACTCTTCCTATACTTTTGCAATCTTTTGAGAAATAAATGTTTCAAAGTAAATAATTAAAAAAAAATTTTTTCACCCATCTTTGACAATATTTTTGCAATCCTTTGAAAAAGAAATTTTTCGAATTAAAGAAATGAGAAAAAATGTTTTTTTTGCTCCTATACTTTTGCAATTCTCTGTCAAGAATTTGCAATGTTATATGTTGTGAAAATAAAGTAGGATGGGAAACGCTCATAAGAAATGGTTTGCTATCTTTTTCCAATATTTTATAGTAATGGTGAAAACTGGAAAACCTTGGCGAAAATCTTTCCCCATCTTTTTCTAGCTTTTGCTAGCTTCCCATGGTAGAAAAAATTCGTGACGATAGGTAGCACTGTTAGACTCCATGGTGACGCTTATGTAATCTAGCAGTGCTAGCTAGCGCCACGAATTTTTTCTACCAGGGTTTTTCCCAAAGTGCGATTTTCATGCGGGTTTATTTCTACTCTCTAAATTTGAATCAGTGAAAAAGTCACTGGTCTCAAATCAGTCGCTAAATTCTAGCTATTTGAATCAGTAACATTTCACTGATTTTCAGTCCAAAGTAATTGATTCTCCAGTGAAATGTCACTAACTGTCAGTGAAAACCACTGATTCAAATAGCTAGAATTTAGCGACTGATTTGAGACCAGTGACTTTTTTACTGATTCATATTTAGAGAGTATATTCAAATAAAATTTATTATTAGAATTACAATTATTTAATTAAATTTAATATTGGAATTACAATTATTTAATTAAATTTAATAATAATAATAATTTTTATTATTCAACCTATATTGAAATACGAAATAAAATAAACTTTTTATTTCGCTTGTTTCAATAAACAGAAAAATGTTTTTTTTTTTACTTTTAATTAAGACAGATTTTACAAAATAAATTTGAGTTTTAATTTAAAAAAAAATGAAAACGAATTGCTGTTTTTGATAACAAATATTTAAATTTAAAAATAAAATATAAAACGCTCTGCGTACAGGATTTCAACAAACTATTATAAAAAATATTGTATATGCGCAATGCTAATATTTGTAATAAATGTATAGAAATATCAACAGAAAGAACAATGGTTAATTGGAATATAATAATAATAATAATAATAATAATAATAATAATAATAATAATAATAATAATAATAATAATAATAATAATAAAAACTACATGTGAGCGCATTTATAACAAAGCATTGAAATAAAAAAATTTATTTTCGGAGTATTGTATTAAATACATCCAGAGAAATAATATATTTGTCTCACGGCCTATTTATTTGGCGTAAATAAAATTTTTTATTTAAATCAAATAAAAATTTATTTGAATCAAATAAATATTTATATTGGGCTGTGAGACAATTATATCATTTCTCTGGGTGTAGAATTGAATAATTATTGGCCGATATTTGAACGTGGGTTTAATTTAATTAAAAGCAAAATCTCCAAAAGATTAAAACAATAATAAGAGACATTTCAGGCGCTATGAATTTAATCTTTATTGATTTAAGAAAACTTATTCACAATCTTTCCTAACTATGGATGGAATTTTCAATTTAAATACATACACACATACAAGAGCGCATGAAATGGGAATATAGTGAAATTAATTAAAAACAAACGGAATGAATAAAATTATAAATATTCTGTATTTTATACTTTTTTCTATGTATAGTCTCAATTTCTGTTTTTTAATTATATTCTTTTTTGATATTCCCCAATGTTTTTTCTGATATATTCCCAATAAACATTTTTCCTAATGTTTATTTTTTCATAAAAATATTTTCCTAATTATTTTTTTTCTAAAGTATATTTTTTCGAATGATTGTGCCTTTATTATTATCACTAAGAAAAATGTTTAGTCAGAGCAACTAAAATTTGGTTGGGCCAACAAAAAAATTTTGTTGGTATTTAAGCAACCAAACTATTTATTTGAGTCAACCAAAAAATTTGGTTGAGTATTTTTTGTTGGCATAACAAAAATGTTTGGTTAGCTCAACCAAATTTTTTTGTTAGGTAAACAAAAATGTTTGGTTGATCAAACAGTTTTTTTGTAAAATTAAAAATTTTATTCTACTTTATTTCTTTTCTTTTTATCTTTTCTATTTATTTCATTATTTATTTATTATCAATTTAAAATTGAATTTATATTTATCCAATTGAAATATTTGTGGACTTTGAAAAATCTCACCTCCGCCTGGGATTGAACCTCTGTTTTAAAACTGAAGTTTTAAACTAACTATTCTCTTAAGCTATGAGCTAAGAGCGAATCAAACTATTTGGTTGTCGCAACCAAATTATTCTGTTGTCGTAACTAAATTTTGGTTGGAATTTAAAAATGTTCAACCAAATAATTTTGTTGACCTAACCAAATGTTTGGTTGATATAACTCTACGACTTTGTTTCAGCTAACCAAAATTTGGTTACAAGAACCAAAATTGCCTAATCAAACAATTTTGTTGCAAACACTAAATTTTTTTCTCAGTATAAATAGGTCAATTAAATTTTTATAAACAAAAGTAATTTAACGAATATTAGAGTAGAAATTTCTGAATTTAAATTTGAAACACGCTATTTATTTACACAAAAAGCCATCGCTTTGCTAACTTCAATTTAAACATGTGTCAAACACATCGATGAATTTAGAATTTTGATTATAGCTTGTAGTGTTACTCTGGCGAAATTCAATTAAGATTTTCATACAGTTTAATAATTTACTAAAAATTCCCCCTAAGATTTTATATATGAAAATATATTCTTGCCAAAATATTTTCATTTTTTTCAATTTCCACACACAAATAATTTCGTTCATCAAACATTCATAACATAACTCGGAGCAATTTTATATATACATAAAAATATAATTTACTCCAACTATATACACATATATAAATTTCATTAAATTTTCAAATTAATTACACGGGTAAAGTTAATTAAATATTTTTCATTACATTTTCGATGTTATATGTTATATTGAATAATCTTTTTTTAAAAACTATATTTTTATTTCTATATAGAAAAAAGGGAGGTAATATTTTTGAAAATTTTTCTTCAATTTCTGTGTCATTAATGTCTCTTTAAGTGTCTCATAATTGAAATTCATATTAGATTTCTCTCTTTTTTTTTTTTTTAATATTACGACTGCGATCCTTGTCTAAAAGTGAGAAATGAAGCGGGCAATTCCAATGGAAATGGAAAAATAATTGTCGAGTTCTTTTTTGCAGAGATATTAAATAAAGTTTGCAGACATCTTAACTATATTAACAAAGGGTAAACAAAAGAGAGCAATTAATTAACTATATAATAATTATTTGAATAAAATTAAAAAAATAAAAAAAAAACAAAAAATAAATATTTATTTAAAATAAATAAAAATTTATTTGGTCTGAGACAAATATATCTTTTCTCCAGGTTATAAAAATCAATTGTTAGAATTTATATTTAATAGAATTTCATTAGATATAATTTTAATTGAGCCGAATTTTATTTGTTCGTATTATTATTTTGCAGAATTTTCATTAAACCTATTTTCTATGTTAAAAAATTTTTATATAATCGAAAATTTACTTTACAGAATTTTTATTCGTTTGAATTTTCATTAATCAGAATTTTTATTTGCACGAATTTTTTATTTAATATAATAGCCATTTTAATGAATTTTTATTAGCGTAGAATTTCATTAAATAGAATTTTCATTTGTCCGAAATTGCAAATGACCGAACAAACAATCGACAGAAAAATTTAGGCGCGATTTTTTAAATCAACCAATCATAATTTTATGAATAATTTTTGATTGGTTGATTTTTAAAATCGCGCCGAAATCTTCTCTCTAAATCTGAATTAGTAAAAAGTAACTAATTTAAATTAGTAAGAATTTCCACAAATTTTTAGTTTACTTTTTACTAAAACTTTAGTAAAAAAAATTTGAAACTACTAAATCAAATATTAATATTTTTTATTAAAAATTAGTAAAATTTTTTACTAATGTGAATTAGTAGCTCACTTTTCACTAATTCAAAATTTAAAGAGTTTCTGTCGATTGTTTTTTCGGCCATTTGTTATTTCGGACAAATGAAAATTCGAGCAAACATAATTTCGGACACATGAAAATTGGAATAAATAAAAATTCAGTGAAGTGAATTTTCGGTTATATAAAAATTATATGAGAAAATCGGTTTAATGAAAATTTTACAAAATAATAATTCGCTATAAAATTCGATTCAATGAAAATTAAATCTAATGAAATTTGATTTAATGAAAATTCTAAAACTTATTTTTTATTTATTCTTGCAACCCATAAAAACTACAATTTTTTAAAATAATTTTTTATATATTATATAAATAAATATTTATTTATAAACATATGGGAAAATATAAATATATGTTATAAATATATATATATATAATGGAAGTAAGTTAACAATAGCAGTTTCAGGTAGAACAATAGCATTATCAATTATAATCAGCTTCCCTTTTGTTGTTAATCCCATATTAAATACCTGTAGAGCTGCAGGACTCATGGAAATGACATCACTAGCATCCTTCAATGCCCGGGAAGCTCGCATTTCTCCTTCAGCTGCAATCACTTTAGCTTTTGCTTCTCTGACGGCTTCCGCTTCTGCTGCCATGGATCGTTGCAATTGTAGTGGGAGTAGAACTTCTTTTCTAAAATCAAAAGAAAAATATTCATTGCATTTTTTTTTTAAATGAAATTTCTAGTGTAATTTTAATTTTCACGTTTTTGAATGTGAAGGAATTTTAAATTGTATCTCAAGTTTTCTTTATATATATATATATATATACTGAAAGATTCATCTCATTTGCATTTGTAAGATGTCATCTCTCAAAATAGAAAATAAATCTTTATGTAATATATAGAGCATTCCTTATTTACAATTCTATGACATACTTTAAATATCATTTGTTTAACAAATTTTGAAAACAAGTGAAAAATAATGTGTGAGATAAGTTTGTTTAGTTAAATAAAATTTTTGTCTGACTAAACTACGATATTTCTACTTGTGATGTACATTTTGTTTGGATGAGTTAATTTTTCAATTTGAATTAAAATAATTAGAATTGTCTTGTTAAGGTAACTTTATCTATTTAGAAGTAAAAGATAATGAATCGTAATAAGTCGTACAAAGTCGTAAGAGGTTGAAAATAGTCGTAATGGTTCGTACAAAGTTAAAGGAGGTCGTAAAATGTATCAATGAGTCATAAAAGTTCAAATGAAGTCATAGTAAGTCGTAGGATGTCGTCGGAATTTTTTATAGGTCGGAATAAGCCGTAGAAGGTCGTAATGAGTCGTAATAAGTCCGTATTGAGTTGTAAAAAGTCGTAAAAGGCCGTAAGTTCGAATGGAGTTTTAATAAGTCGTAAATTGTCATTGTGATTTTTTATAGGTTGTCATTAGTCGTAAGAGGTCGTAATGAGTCGTAATAAGTCCGTATTTCTTCGTAATAAGGAGTAAAAGGTCTTAAAGAGTCGTAAAAGTTCTAATGGAGTCGCATTAAGTCGTAATAGGTCATCGGAATTAGTTACAAGTCGGAATAAGTCATAATAAGTCGTAAGAGGTCGTAATAAGTCGTAAAGGTCCGTAACAAGTCGTAAAAGGTCGTAAGTTCGAATGGAGTTTTAATAAGTCGTAATTTGTCATTGTGATTTTTTGTAGGTCGTGATTAGTCGTAGGAGGTCGTAATGAGTCGTAATAAATCCGTATTTAGTCGTAATAAGAAGTAAAAGGTCTTAAAGAGTCGTAAAAGTTCTAATGGAGTCATAGTAAGTCGTAGGATGTTGTCGAAATTTTTTATAGGTCGGAATAAGTCGTAGACGGTCGTAATGAGTCGTAATAAGTCCGTCTTGAGTCGTAATAAGTCGTAAAAGGTCGTAACAAGTCGTAAAAGGTTGTAATAAGTCATATGAGGTCGTAATGAGTCGTAAGGTGTAGAAATAGGTCGTAAATATTAAGTCGTAAAAAGTGTAAAAGGTCGTAACTACACTTTTATTTGCTCTGATATAAACATTTACTTGTAAAGACAACTTTATGTACTTAAAAATTAGATTCGAGTAAAAAATCCATGTTTTTACTTAAAACACTAATTTTACAATAATAGAACTACCGTATCTACTTAAAAAAGAATATTTGTCTGACTCAGCAATACTTTTTCTACTTATAAAATAATTTTTTCTATTGATAATACTTTATCAACTTAAAAATATTTTTCTTTCTGCAAAACCTCGTTTATTTTGCTAAAAAAAATTAATTTCTGTCTTGTCAAAAAAAAAACTCTTTATTTACAAAGTAAATTTTTACTAAATAGAACTATTTGACCTACAAAAAAAATTTGTCAAACCATACTTTACTTTTTCTACTAGTACAATGACTTTTTCTTGCCAAGACCACTCAATTCTTTTAAAATTAAAATTTGCCTGTAAAACAATTAATTAATTAACTTTTTTAATTTTTAAAAATAAATATTTGTCTAAAAAATCTATTTTCAATTTTTAATTCAAATTAAGAGAACATGATTTTTATTTCACTGAACTGTAGTAAAAATCACTTTAAAAAAAAAATGAAGAATAAATTTACGTAAATGAGCTATCTGAGGTAATCATTTTTTCTCCCCCGTATATAAAAGAAAGTTTCATCGTATAATCTTTGAGGTTCTAATTAAAATTAGTTGCATAAGCAAGTCATATATAGCTATATATATAGAAAATATAAGATGATTAAGATGAGAAGGTAATCGGGTTTTAACAGACTTAAAATTATATGAAAATTGGTTTCTTTATGAAAAAAAAAAAATTTTTTCTCCCGCTGCGATGTGTCTAATTTCGTATTCCCATAGGATTTCATTCTCTGATTGTTGTAAAAAGGTGCTGATTACAGAGGAAAAAAAGATTTTTTTTTTATTTTGAATATTAAATGAGAGAAGAATAGCAACTTGTGTTCATTCGAGTGTAAATGAAGAAAATTTGTTATGTTAAAAAAAGAAAATACATATATACACTGTGCACTTGATTTTTTTTCTATGTATAAATATACAGAGTGATTTTTATGTTCCGGACCACCTAAAATTTTTTTTTTAATCATATTTTTTTCTTTTTTGAAACAAAAAAAGGTAATTAAAAGAAAAAAATTTTAGTTGGTCCGGAACATAAAAATCATCCTGTATGAAACATAACTAAAAATTAATAAATTTTTTTACTAATTCTTATAGTACAATATTATTATTTTATTCGTTAGTATTTCTTTTATTAAAATTTTAGTAAAAAGTGACTAAAAATTAGTAGAAAATTTTGCACAAATTCTTAGTACAATATTACTAATTTATTCCGTAATATTTTTTTTTTTACTAAATTTTTAGTTTCTATGTATAAAAAATGTATATATGTATACATATATGTTTCTATGTATAAATGTATGTGTGGGTCAAGTTTGTGTATATGGAGGCTTATGTTTATTTTAGGAATTCAAATTTTCGTATTTACATCTCAACTCGCTCTACCTCGACGCCCCATGGATCCGTGGCTTCGTCAAGGGACATTTGGATGGTGTGAGAAATTGTTTCTCGCTCGGCCAGAATCTCAGCGAGACTTCTCGTTCCAAGTACAGTGCGTAATGTACTTGCTGCCAATAATCTTGTGGAGTAGCTTGGGAAATGAAACGCCAAAGAGAATAAACGTTATACTCGTTGAAATTAAGTAATAAAAGCTGCGAAGCTGAAAAAGCTCTTATGATTTCCTATATATATATATATATATATAATTAAAATTCTGTCTGTACATTGCTCGAGCCGTGGAAAATTAAATATATATATATATATATTTTAATATTCTGAGTAATCAAGAATAAAGAAATAGAAAAAATCCCTGTCTGTCTGTCTATCAGTCAGTCTGTGACAAGAAATATAATTTTGAATATAATAAATTTTAGTAAAATACAAAATAATTATTATAGAAATTCATTTCTTTTTAATATTTTTTCTTCATTCTATCATTCTTTTTCCTTATTTTCAATTTTTAAATAGGAATTATATTCAAATTTTCTAAATATAAGAATAGAAAAATTTCTGTCTGTCTGTCAGTCTGTGGCAAAAAATATAACATTGAATTTATTGCAAATGTTATACAAATTCATTTCTTTTTTACTATTTTTTTTCATTTTCTTCTTTATCCTTATTTTCAATTTTTAAATGGAAGTTAAATTCAGATTTTTTTTAAATATAAGAATATAAAAAATTCTGTCTGTTTGTCTGTCAGTTTGTGTGGCAAGGAATATAACTTTGAATATACTATAATATATTTTCAATATAATATAAAATAATTATTATACAAATTTATTTATTTTTTATATTTTTTTTCTCTAATTTAAATTAGTGAAAAGTATTTTACTAAGTTTTAATCATTTTTTACTAAAACTTTAGTCAAAGAAAAAATATTACTAAATCAATAATATTCTGCTAAAATTTTAGTAAAATAAAAAATATTACTAAATCAAAAAGTAATATTGTACTTAAAATTAGGAAAAATTTCTACTATTTTTTAGTCGTTTTCACTAAAAATTTAGTAAAAAAAAAAAATATTACCGAATAAAATAGTAATATTGCACTAAGAATTAGTAAAAATTTCTATAAATTTTTAGTTACTTTTTAATAAAACTTTAGTAAAAGAAATATTACCGAATAAAATAGTAATATTGTACTATATAAGAATTAGTAAAAATTTCTACTACTTTTTAGCCGTTTTCACTAAAAATTTATTTTAAAAAATATTAGCGAATAAAATAGTAATATAGTACTAAAAATTAGTGAAAATTTACACTACTTTTTAGTCGTTTACACTAAAACTTTAGTAAAAGAAAAAATATTACTAAATCAATAATATTCTGCTAAAATTTTAGTAAAATAAAAAATATTACTAAATCAAAAAGTAATATTGTACTTAAAATTAGGGAAAATTTCTACTATTTTTTAGTCGTTTTCACTAAAAATTTAGTAAAAAAAAAAAATATTACCGAATAAAATAGTAATATTGCACTAAGAATTAGTAAAAATTTCTATAAATTTTTAGTTACTTTTTAATAAAACTTTAGTAAAAGAAATATTACCGAATAAAATAGTAATATTGTACTATATAAGAATTAGTAAAAATTTCTACTACTTTTTAGCCGTTTTCACTAAAAATTTATTTTAAAAAATATTAGCAAATAAAATAGTAATATTGTACTAAGAATTAGTGAAAATTTACACTACTTTTTAGTCGTTTACACTAAAACTTTAGTAAAAGAAAAAATATTACTAAATCAATAATATTCTACTAAAAATTAGCGAAAATTTCTACTAATTCGAATTAGTAAACAAATTCCCACTAATTAAAATTTAATAAGTAAAATAAACAACTAATCAACAAGTAGAGAAAAAAATTACAAGCAATTTTTTCAGAATAAAGAAAAATTTTCTTATTCCTTTTTTTTTGCGAGGATGATAATGGTAAAAAATGGCAGATTATTCATGTTCGTTATACAGTTGTGGACAAGTTTCTTTTTTCGAAGTCAAGAGTTTTTTTTTTCTTTTTTTTTTAGCGAATGTAATAAAGTTTGTAGCTACTGCTTTCTGCTTGAAAAACATGTGCTGGCATCGCGTATATTCTAATTTCACGGTCACAGATCCCTGAGCGATATTTTTTATTTACCCAAGCACAAGACTGAGTTTCTGGTGTTTATCTATATATATGTATACTTTTTAGATTTTCTCTTTTTACAAATCACAAATTCTAATGGTTATACTACGCATTGTTTCAAGTTTTCGTAAACGAGCAATCTATTTTAATTTCATCAGTTACAAACGAGTACCCAACGGTACAAACAACAGTGATAAAATATTTGCATCACTGGATTTAGATAAAATGCCTTTTCCCCTCGAAATGCATTGCTCTAAAAATATTTATCGTTTGTGGAAAACAAATTAAAAAAAGAAAAATTTGTTTGTTTCTCATTTTTTTACAATAAGAACATTGTAAAAAAAATAATATTTATTTTTATAGTTAAAATATATTTTTAAGTTTAGAATATATTTTCGAATATATTTTCAAATTTTAAATATATTTTTAAATTTGGAATATATTTTCGAATTTTAAATATATTTTCAAAGGAATATATTTTAGAAATACTAAATTGAAGAATCAATTTGTATCGTATATATTTATTTTTAGTTAAAAAATTTTGTTTGTTTGTTAAAAAATCACGTTTAGTTATAAAGGGGACAAAAATGAGAAATGTTACAAATATCCGGTGGTATTCGGTTTTTTTTTTTAAAAAAACGACTTTAATAAACGAATTTGTCTTTTTCGAAATAAAATTCTAGTACCTGTAGTCCGCTATTTTTATGACAGCATTTAAGGGTTCTTTTATTCTGTAATAGACGACAGCATCTACACTGACGGTTACTGAATCTTTCGTAAGTACTTCTTGTGGTGGAACATCAAATGATACGGTCCTTAAATCCACAAGGATGCAGTTATCCACACAAGGAAGCGCAAAAAACGTTCCTATTTATATAAAAGTAAAACAAAATTAAAATACAAGAATATTTCAAATAGAATTTATTTATTAAAATTATTTTTTCTGATATTTTATTTTATTTATTTGTATTATTATTTTATTTTTTTGTTTTTATTTTTAATTTTTATTATATTTATTTTTTATATGAAAATTAAAAATAGAAAAAAAAGTGAAAATTTGTTGGAAATAATTTTAGGAATATTTTTCTAAATATCTCATGAGGGATTAACTTCATTTGGTATAATAGTTTTTGTTGGACTAATTACCTGGACCGCGAGCACCACCTTTTAAACGACCCATTCGAAATACCACGGCTCTTTCGTATTCGTGGACTATTTTAAATGTGAAACAGAGCGAAAACGGAAGGGTGATTAAGACCAACAGAAAGGAACTCAAGGTAGCTAGAAACTCGATGCATTCGGTCATTTCGCTTATTTTCCCCCAGCTTTCAGCGGACAATTTACTTGAAGCTCTCTTTCTCTCTCTCTCTCCCTTTTCTGTGCACAAAATAGAAAAGAAGGAAAATTAAATTAAGCTTTTACGAGGGAAATAATGAAATTCATGTTGATTTACGTATATATAAAGAAATTTTCATTCCCTTGGACAAACTTCCATTTTACTATTACTAGTAATTTAGATTTCTATATTTTAAACATTATTTTTATATAGAAAATAATTTAAATTGTTGGAAATATATTTTTAGATTTAGAAAATTTTCACCGCCGAGCGGATTCGAAACGCGAGCCTCTTTTTTTATAATACATGATCTAACCAATTGAGCCATAGAGACATTTTCTTTTTTTTTTTTAAATTTTCTACTAGAAAAGTAATTTTATAACAGGAAGAAAAAAATGAATTTGGTAATAATTTTTATTCAAACTATTTTGAAAAATAGAAAAATTCGTGAAAAGTGGGTGCAATTTGTTTGGAAAAGGTAAATTTGTGTATTTCTGTTTACTTGTGTCAAAGGATATATAGCTAAATAATTTAAGTTCTCACTGAACTCGACGAAATCACTCGATTCCATCGCGCGCCGCTGTCGGTTTTGACAAACTTCTTGTAATCTTTGTTCGCCTATCCTTTGATCATCCTAATGTTACAACCCAACGGATTTCCTCTATATATATATATATATATATTGCCTTTGACTCTTTGGCAAAATATATATATTCTATACGATAGTAATTTCAAGTTTTTCTTTTTCGCCAATCATTTGACACATTTCATTTTTGTTCTGCTCTCGATAAAAGAAAGACGAAAAAAAATCAAAAATTCATATTCATTTTTTAAACTAATATTCAAGTTAAAAGAAGTTAAACAAAATAAAAATAAATAAAACAAAATAAAAATAAAATAAAAACTAAATAATATCTAATAATATTAAAAAAAAACTTTAATCCTTTTTTAATATTATCAAGTAATTTTATGCTTTATTTATTTTTATTTTATATTAATTCAAATTATTATTTATACAAAAAAATTTATTTGATTCAAATAATCGGTTACTTTACTATTATCAACTCTCTAAATCTGAATTAGTAAAAATGTTTACTAATTTGAATTAGTGACTCACTTTTTGCTTCTGAATTAGTTAAATTTTACTAATTGTTAGTAAAAGTTACTAATTTAGTTAGTTACTAATTTAGTTAGTTACTAATTTAGTTAGTTACTAATTAAACTTTTACTAATTCAGAAGCAAAAAGTGAGTCACTAATTCAAATTAATAAACATTTTTACTAATTCAGATTTAGAGAGAAATAAATATTTAGTAGAACCAAATAAATATTTACTTGGACCGAATAATTTATATTTCAATAAAAAAAACTGTATTTGAACCAATAATTTCTCTATTTTAAACAAATACCATTTAATTGACTCAAATATTAATTATAATTTATAATTAAATAAAAGTATAAATTAATAAAATATAAATAAAATTAAATAAATAAAAATATGTATATAAAAATACAGAAATTATTATTAATTATAATTGTAATTAGTATTAATTAATCATTATAAGAATTATTAAATTATTAAACTATTAAATAATTATTTAATAGAGATAAATATTTATTTGATAATGTAACGGATTTTTTGCATCAAATAATTTTTTTTGTTCAAAAATTTTTTTAACTGAAAATTCGAATAATTATTCATAAATGAATTTTCAATAAATCTAAATGAATTTGCTTTTGAAAGTAAATGTAAACATTTTTCTGTTTCTTTTCCACTTTGGTTATATAATAAATTTACAAGTGAATTAATATCCAAAGTTTAAAATTCGCAAGTCATGAAACATAAAGCGTTATATTATCTTTTGTTTTCATGGTAAGTAAAAAAAAAAAAGGAAAAAGAAAAATGAAACGTTGAGGAGACAAAAAGGAGCAAACAGGGTTATATATAGAAAATAGTGGTGGGAAGAAATCTCGCAAAGTCATCGCAGCAAAAGGCGACACATCGATGTCAGAATGGAAGCGAGGTAAACACTTTTCCTCGGTGCTTCCTCGATTTTCTTTAAAGTACTTTGAGGAATATATATATTGATGTCATATCACAGACTTACAAGGATTCTCTCCTTCGTAAAATAATACCTCTCCCGGACATTATTCCATATCGTTATAATAAATATGTAAATAAATAAATAAATAAATAAGTAAATAAATACATAAATAAATATATAAATAAATATAAAAATAATTAAGTAAAGAAATATGATATATAAATTTGGCAAATTGTTTTCGAACGCTTTCCAAAATTGTTTCTATAGTGAATTAAGATATTTTTATAAAAAGTATAATTTGGAGAATTTAATTAAAAAATTGAATTGAAAATTTTTGTTTTATAAAAATATATTATTAATAAATAATGATAAATAAATGATTGGTAAAAAATGAGAGAGAGGGGCAGAGAGGGATTTGCTGAGATTATAGAAGATCAGAAGAGAGTATAGGTTTAATACTAAAATACCACTATCGTCCAAGTCGGATCACGGGCAGTCGAATTCAACCGCTATATAACCACACCACAAACCCGAACCAAATTAACCATCCTGACGGTATAGGCATGCGAACGACGCGCAATAATAATAGTAAATAGTGAGTAATTGCGCGTGAACCCTTTCAAGAGAGAGATGAATTTCCTCCACGGTTATTGGGGTCAAGAAGCAATATTCTTCTTTATATATCTATATATATAGAAAGTCCATTGTCCCTTTTGATTCACTTTTGTTAAAGGAAATTATTGTTTGCTCTTAACCACCGATAAACCAAATTAATTACAAGTAATTTTACCTAATTATTATAATTAAATTTACCTTATTATCATTACAATGAATTATTAATTAAAATTAAAAAAAAGACATTTTAATCCCTTTGTCTGACTAAAGTGATCTTTTACTACTAATCGCAATTCTAGAAGAATTATAAAAATGATTTGTCTGACTAAAACTGGAATTTTCTACTTATCTAAATTTGCAATGAATAGAAATCGTATTGCCTGACTAAAAGTGACATTTACCTAATGTTAATTTAACAATCAAGTTGCAAACCACCGTCTGACTAAAACTATCTTCTACTACTGATATCAGCTGTATTAGAAAAAATGTGTTTTGTCTGATTATAACTGATTTTCACTACTGAAAACAATGGAATAAAAAATTTAAGTAGTTCAGTCTGACTACAAACACCATTTGCTACTAATATATTATTAGTAATATTAATTAATATTAAAAATAGTAATATTAATTATTAATTTATTGTTAATTTATTAGTAATTAATTAACATTTTATGAAAATATAAATCATTTTGTCTGACTAAAACCACCTTTCACTATACGAATATAATGTTTCGAAACTCTAAGAATTAAAACAAATTTAGCCTGACTATACCTGTCTTTTACTACTGATAAAAAAAAGTAATCTTAAATTTAGAGGAAAATACCTCTTCTAAAATCCTCTGAATATTTCCTCTTAAAATATGAATATTCCATTTCACTGTAGAATATTTTTATTCTTTGTTATAACACAGGCACACAAAAAAAAAGTTGTCTGTTTCTTGAACTAGACATATATTTCCTACAGTATTTTGGCCCGGTGAAACCGAATCTGAGCTCAGAATTGCTCCATCACCCTCAGTTTTTTTTTAAATCGACCAAAACCACCCTTAAATGGACAGATTCACACTTCGGAGATAAAAAATAAATCAACTTATTTTTTTAAAAAATCGAATTTTACATCTAAGAAACTTTGCTCCACTAACGCTAAAACAAAGCCAGCATTGATCCAGCACCCCCTGAATTTTTTTAACCAAAAAAACCACCAAAGAATCAAACTTAGAAGGTAATTTAATATAATTATATTGTGTTACCTCCTAAGTTTGATTCTTCAGGTTAAGGGTAGTTTTTTTGATTAAAAAAAATCACAGGGTGATGGATCAATGCTGGCTTTATTTTTTTGAGTTAGAAGAGCAAAACTACATACATGTAAGATTCTATTTTCCAAAAAAACCGGTAATTTAATATTTTTTACTTCCTAAATTTGAATTTTTCTATTTAAGGGTGGTTTTTCTATTAAAAAAAAAATTTAGTGGGTGAGGGAGCATTTCTGGCTTTGTTTCTGCATTGCTGGAGTAAAAATATCTGGTTATAAAATTTGTCAATCAGTTATTTTATTGTTTTATCTTCTGAATTTGATTCTTCAGATTAGGGATAGTTTTTTCAATTAAAAAAATTCAGGGGGTGCTGGATCAATGCTGGCTTTGTTTTTGAGTTAGTGGAGCAAAGTTTCGTATATGTAAAATTCGATTTTTTAAAAAAATAAGTTGATTTATTTTTTATCTCCGAAGTGTGAATTTGTCCATTTAAGGGTGGTTTTGGTCGATTTAAAAAAAAACTGAGGGTGATGGAGCAATTCTGACCTCAGATTTGGTTTCAGCGGGTCAAAATACTATAGGAAATATATGTCTAGTTCAAGAAACAGACAACTTTTTTTTGTGTGCCTGTGTAATGGAACAATGACAAAAGGAGTACTTTTGCATTTTCCTCTTCAATTACGATTTTCCTGTTTAAATTTAGTATATTTGAAAAAAGGAAACGTAAATACATGATATCGATTACATTTTTTTCGTGTTTGACATTTGCGCTTTTGTTTTTCGAAACTGTCAATTTTCGTATTTTGTCATAATAGTGTTGTGTTATAAATCGAAAGACCAAAATGGAAAAGAGACTCGAAGATTTACTAAATGACTTAAATCTGGGTGGATATATTGAATGGAGGTATAAATACAGAAAATATAACCTCTCGATGAATCTTCATTTCTTACTAATTTTCTTAAATATTTGCGTCGAACTTCTTTGATATTTGCAATTGACTATAGCATTTTTTATTATTATTGTAATTAAATCTAATGCATTAAATTTTTTTTAGAAA